TCTGATTTGCTAGATTATTATGTGCGCGGAGAATTATAGGTATCTAAATGAAGAAGACACGTTTTTCATAAACCTTCCTCATTTTCTTGCTTATGAGAGTCATTATGCCTCGGCATAATTTTTCATGATGGGAACATATGAACATATCGTCGTGCCTTAACTTACCTTAATAATAAAATAATACCAATAATAGTAATATTAACAGTAATAATAATAATGGTTAACTATTGTGGTATTGTCTCATCTTTTCTCCAAGGGTTCATGAATTAAGTAGATGACGTCATGACATTTGACAAATTCAATGCTTTTGTTTCTTTCCTTGCTTGGGTGAGTGAGGCTAGTTCATCCTCGTCCACATAATCCTTTAGCTTTCTCACTAATATATGGCTAGAGTAGAAACTGGTATCATTAATTTCTGTATATTTGTTATATTAATGAATATAAACTGTGTGTTATATAATATATTCAGGTGCAAGAGCATAATCATCCTCATATTCTTCTTCTCCAAATTGGGAACACATTTTGCAAACTTCCTGGTGGGCGTTTGAAGCCTGGAGAGAATGGTTTGATCCTTCTTCATCTTCCTGTTTCCCTCTACCTCTTTTGTTGGTTGTCACTTGTCAATTACTCACTATGCATTTGTATATATACACATATTTCTCTAAAATTGTCAATTCCCCATAAAAGTCTCATCTTCTTACCGTGGTAGTGTGGTGGTTGATTTTCTAATTCCTATAAACCTTGCAGAAATTGATGGTTTGAAAAGGAAACTCTCCAGCAAACTTGCAGCTAATTCTTCTACTATTCAGCCGGATTGGCAGGTAAACTGTCAGCACAATATATTATACTCCCTCCGGTTTTATTTAATCTTCACACTTTGACTTCACACAAAATAAGGAAAGAAATTTGACTTTACTGTAGAGTACACTGTTAAGACACTGTTTGACACTGTTTGGCACTGTAGAGACACTGTTTGGCACTGTTGAGACACTGTTTGGCACTGTTGAGACACTGTTTGGCACTGTTTGGCACTGTTTTGATGTTGATTTCTTTGCCAAAAAAGGAAATAAGGAAGTGTGAAGTTTATTTTAGACCGTCCCAAAAAGGAAAGTGTGAAGTTTATTAAAAACCGGAGGGAGTATTATATAATATAGCCCAATACTTGGCAGCACTGGTCATTATTAAACAGAAATTCGGTACACTAAACAAGTAATGGAGCTTAATGCCTAAGGCTGTCTGTTAATTTTGTGTACCTATTGTGATTACATCCAAATCAGGCCCGCATATAATGTTATGTGAAACAAATGCAGATTGGTGAATGTGTGGCCGTCTGGTGGAGGCCAAATTTTGAAACAATTATGTACCCTTATTGCCCCCCACACATAACGAAGCCTAAGGTATGTTGTTCAGTCACTTAGTGTTATCATGCTGTGTTGGTGATTTGGAACTTTGCTCTCATTGATAAAAAAATCATTATTGGTAATTGCTGTAGGAGTGCAAAAAGCTATACTTGGTTCATCTCTCTGAGAGGGAGTATTTTGCTGTCCCCAAAAATTTGAAACTTCTTGCAGTGCCATTGTTTGAACTATATGACAATGTTCAGGTATTACCCAGATACATAAGTTTATCTTCTTGCTTATGACTAATTTGCTCTTTTTCTATACTTATCATAGTACAAGTTTTTCGGGACATACTTGTTGCTAGTGTAAATTGGATAATACATATACATATAGAGGGTTCATTCGAGTAAAACCCACACACACAGAGAGGGTTCATTCCGTGAGAAAAGGAGAACAGAAAGAAATAGACGCACTTCTGATACAGTTTCATTGCACTTTGTAAGTATTGGGATATGAACTTTTCTAAATGAACGTTGTGGTCGAAGTTGTACTAAGTTACAACTCTGTCATCATATTTTCACTCCCCCTGATTTTTTGTTTCACCATATCTATAATCTAATGCATCATATTCATTCTTATCCGTTTAATGTAAGTAGCACTTTGTTACACTAAACACACACACATGCAGTGGCACATCTAGAAATTTTTCCGAGGGGAGCGAAGTTGCACTAGAATTTAGTCAAACATTTCACAATAGCAGATCACATTATTAATATTATGTAATTAGATTTAGTTTAAATTATAAATTTTCAAGTATGCATAAAAAGAAGATCAACTTATATTGCTTGTGTGAAAAGATGCAATTGTAGATAAGATTTGAGGAAATTCCCTAAATAGGAGTTAAACATAACAATTTTCTCAAATAGAAGTATCATTGTTTTCATCCCAAAAGAAGACTCATGCACTCCTGTTTGGGGATTTTGATCCTTTTATTCTTTTAATAGGATTACATAAATCTATATTTGGGGAAGTAAACACACCTAGTCTTATTTTAGGATTTTCCCTATGTTTTACTCCTATTTTGAGCAATCTCCTATACATCTAGGGTGCCCCCACCGCAGATATGCCCCTGCACATATGTACCGAAATCTTCCAACGTGCACCTTACAAAGCCATCACCCGTATACAACTGCAAAAATATCCTAGAGGGGGTGGGTAATGAGAATGAAAGAAGGGTCAAACTAAGGGTATGTTGGGGGGCTTAAAAGAAGGATATTTTGGTATTCTGAATGGGTGGTGTTTATGTGCTAATTGCTAAGACCGATAGCGGGTTTTGGAGCATGGCTCTGTGTGTGTAGACCTTGGCTTCTTGTGCTGCTTCTTAAATTTTTCAATATTCAATTTGCAACAGAGATATGGACCGGTGATATCCACAATTCCGCAGCAGCTGTCTAGGTTTCAGTTCAACATGATCCATCCATAGTTTGAGGACTTTCAACAGCTCCTGTGCATGGAGACGATAACAAATATGAATTCCGCATGGTTTAGAGGTCAAGTTCGAAGAATTCTAGTAGAACAAACACTAGTGAAACAAAACTGTTGCCTGCTTATTCGGCCGTTGACCTGAAAACGCGTAAAACTGAGAAGTGATTATTTTTTTGTATGCTTTATTCCTGATTGATGTTTGAACTAGGCAGTGTTTTTGCAGACACTGTTCATTAGGGGTAGACATGTAATTTTGTTTCATTATCATTGTTATACAGGCTGCCATATTGCTTTAAATTGCCAGTATGTAACTGCTGGCACCTAGAAGTTATTCTTTGGTGCTTAGAGGACAAATATATTATAGGTGTAACAACTAACCACAGCGTTGATTTTGCTGTGGCATTATCTGTAATTTTAGATGGACCTTTAGCTTTCTTTGGGGAGCGAATTGTTTTTTCTTGTTCGTAACGAGTTAACGTGGAAGGACCATATGGTGTCTCTGCGTCCCACACTTTTAATGGGTGATGTGGCAATCTTTATATCCTTTAATAAATTTGTAATTATGAAGATTAAAGAATAAGAAGACATGTATAAGTGGATAAATCATAATAATAGAAAAATACAAAAGAAAATGCCACGTGGCCCAATCAGAAGATTGGGACACGATGGGGACAATGGAGTGGGATAGAGGATTTTTTTGCTCCAACATTTCAATGTTGATTGCCAAACATAATTTGAATATTTGTTACTGAAAAATCAGGTCGGTAGCAGATCAAAAATTCATTCATTTGGCTGTTTACTTATTTCTTTTATGGTTGTAGTTAATTGCAAGATACGGAGTATATTTCTAATTACAAAGTAGTTTATGTTTGGTTCAACAGGGAACTGATTACAATTACATATATTTGATAATTGATATATGAAAAGTTATTTTAGTTTATGTTATTTTATTGTTCTTAAAACATTAGAGTACTAATATTGAAAGTATTAGTTATACACTAATACCGTAATGTTTTTATTAGAAAAAGGCTATTTAGCTACTGAGAAAGTAAGAAGTAAGAAATGAACTTTTACAAAGCAGTGAAGCACTATTATTACTCCCTAATAACAAAATCCAGGATGTTGGGCTTTAATATTTAAATGAGTGTAGTTCCTCCCCCACCCCACCCCCACCGACACACATTCCCTTTGATACCCAAACAATCCCTCCGACAATTTTTCCTCCACAGACCAAAGCCTCCATAAAAAGGGCTCACATCTATTTTATACAAGAAAATTATCACCTTAAGGAGCTACACTCATATAAACTATAAAGGGAAAGTGTGTGGGTGGGGGAGTAGCTACACTCATTTAAATTTTAAATAGACATCACGAATTGCTTCATAGTCCATCTCTTTCCAAATATATATAAAAATTTCCAAAAATTTCCCTCTAACCCTTCTAAACAATTTTCTAAGGGTATGTTTGGGAGTTTGAAGGGAAGGGGAGGGGAAGACGTTGAAGGTTAGTCCTAGGAGGGCAAAGGGTGCGGAAGGAGAGGAAACCCTTCTTCTTGTTTGGAAGTTGCAAAATTGAATTCAAATAATTGAATTTACATTTATTTAAAATTGAGCTAAAGTTGTTATTTAATTAGTTATCGTTCAAAATCTTCCAATTTGGAGGAACTTAAAAATTGAACATTTGAATAGTTTTGGATTTTAAGGGGTTTGGAGGGTTACAAAAGCCCTCCAAAACCATCCTCTTCATATTTTTAAACTCCCAAATATGTAAGGGAGGGTCATAAACCATTTTCAACCTTCCCCTCCCTCCAAAACTGAACTCCCAAACATACCCTAAAGGTATGCTTGAGTGTTATGTTTTGGAGGGAAGGAAAAGCATTGGGAGGATTCATAACATCTCTTTTCTTGTTTCAGAGTTTAAAAAATTGAAAGGAATGATTTTGAAGGGTTCTTGTAACCCTTCAAAACCCTTCAAAGTTCAAATACTCAATTATTAAGTTATCCCAAATTGAGGAATTTTGGAAGATAACCAATTAAATGATGATTATGGTTTAACTTAAAATAAATAAAAGTTCAACTAATTAAATTCACTATTTAAATTTGTTAATTCCCAAACAAAAAGAACAGTTCTCCCCTTACTCTCTCTTCCCTTCCTAGGACTAACCTTCAAAACCTTCTCCTCCCCATTCTCTCTGAGCTCCCACACATACTCTAAAGCTACTTTTTTTTGTAACATGGAGGCTTATATTGATAATAAGACATTCGGCAAGGGACACAAACGATAAAGGAAACACTTCAAGCCACCGACCCTCGAACCAGCTGGAGAACCAATCACCCTAGCCAGAGCAATATGATTCGATGATCCTATATTGGGTCTAAATGAGTCTAACGTGGCCCGAGCAAAACCCTCATCACCCCCACCTAATGTAAGAGTTTGACAAATCGAAACAACAGTAAAGGAAAAAAATAAAGTCTGATCGCATACCATGAAAATAAAAAAAAGTAAAAGCGTGGAAATTAACTTGCATCCTGAAACACACGAACGAGAGCACCAACACCCGTTCCTTAAGAGCATCTTCAGAGTACTCGGCGGGTTGAGGTACCTAAACCCGTCCCCTCTCCGGTTTTTGGGTCGTCCAAGGCCATGTTTTCCCCTCGTCCCTCTCACCACTATCCTCTTCCCATGTCCTCCTACGTTTTGGATCTCCACTTGTGCCATCCACAACCGTTGTTTCTTCATCCTCCGTCCGGCTCTTAATGTTCCCAGCCAAAGAAAGTTCCCATCCTTGCCTGCTCGGACCAGCTCTCTCTCCATCCTCTCGGACTGCCATACTTCCATCCCTTGATCCTTCTGGAACTAGCCATTTGTCCCCCCCCCAACAAGCTTTCCCCCCTCCTCCTGCACGTAAGCTGACCCCATATTGCTGGTTGGTATCCACATATATGTTTTCGTAAACCAGGGGACAGAACCTGCCAACATGTCCTATAATACCACAGGAAAAACAAAAGATAGGCAACTTCTCATACTTAAAGTCAACCCAGTGCCCTTCACCCTGTCCCTTCCTGAGAGTGGTACCCACCTTTAATGACTTCTCCACATCCAAACAAACTCTAATCCTCATATAGGGCTTCCATTTTTTTTATCAAACTGGTTATTATCAAAGCTGATAAATTCTTCAATAAAGTTCTCAATCCTCCTAGCAACTCCCAAATTCATAAAATCATAGGGAATGTCATGCACCTGAACCCAAAATTCAACCTCATTCAGAGGCACACGAAGAGGAATATCTCAAGGCTTAAGTGCCCGAAGTATTAACAAATTCTGCTAAAAAATCCACGACCCTTCTTGAAGAACACGTTACATATCAATATAATGATAGAAAGTAAACATATACTTCCTCCGTTCTTTTTTAGTTGCAACGGTCAACATTGCACACTTGCCAACACACGTCTTTGACTGTAATAATATCTTAATCTCTATTAGTAAAAAATAATTAAAAATCAGATTTTGAAAATTTGTAATGAAATGAATTGAACAATATTTAAAAAAAAATCGTAAAATGATACCGTAAAATGTAGTCAAAGTAGAACATGTGAATAGTGTAAAATTCAACATGTTGCGATTAAAAAAATGGAGGATATTACTCCCTCCGTCCCATTTAAAGGTTCCCATACACTATTCACATGGTCAACTTAAATCATTCTTAATCTTTTAGTTTATATATCAATTTTTTTTATCAAACTTACATTTTTTATCAGGCTTTGTAGCGGTTTTAATGTAGTTTCTGAATATGTAAATTTTATTTACTAAAATTTTATCAAACTTACATTTTTTATCAGGCTTTATCGTCAGTCAAGCATCGTAAACCGCAATTGGAACCTCCTAATGGGACGGAGGGAGTACCTCTTTTCGCCGATCTCCTTTATTGAAATACCTTTACCTGACCTCCAGAGTGAGGCCATGAGATCTCGAAGAACTGGGAATTTCACCATCCGGTCTGTGATCACGGTCCCCACTATCGGAGATACGTCTCCTATGACCGAGCCTCCTTCATCCTCAAGTGGCTCATCCTCGAAAATCAGATCTTCCTCTTGATCCCCGATAGCCATATCCTTATATTGGTTAGCAATTTCTTCCATCTTCCTTTCTTCGTTCTTGCAACCACCGGCTAGCCACCCAACACTCTGGACAAAGACGAAGATCTACTTTCCTGCCTTCGCCAAAAACGCATATTCGAAGAGCGCACCCCTCGTCGAACGAAGCAGTATGGCACAACAAACCTAACTCTAGATAACTAGGGAGTCGACCACCTTTTTACTCTAAAGCTACTTAATACATGTAAAAGAGGGCGACATTGAAATAACAAGTTTTTTTACCAAATTAAAATTCACATGCTTCTTTGGTCCACTAGCTTAATAGGATTTCAAATAGGTTTAAGGATGTTTTTTTATTTGAACTTGTTTCGGTCCTAGACTAGACAAGACCAGATCAGATCAGAATACCTGACCTGCTGACCAAACTTCGATAGTTATAAAATACACAGAGACCATACATTAACCAGACCAGAAAATTTCAATCCAAATAAAACCATACTAAATACTTCTTTAATTTCTATAAATTTAGTGTTTATTCACGATTACATGATAATTGCATCTTTTAAAAGATTTCGTAAGTCCTAATTAATAGTCAGTTGCAAAAAAAAAGTCTGTGGCACTAATATGATATAGTTAATTCTTTTATCTTTCAGCAAACATGCTACCCCTAGTGTTTGGGTGGTAAATGAGTTCACTCATATAATACTCCCTCCGTCCCAATATAAAAAGTACATATTCCTTTTTGGGATGTCCCAATATAAAAGGCACATTTCCCTTTTGGCAAACAAAACAGTGTCAAACAGTGTCCAAACAGTGTCAAACAGTGTTCCTCCTAAAAAAAAGTTTGAAAACACAAATGTGCTCTTTATATTGGGACGGAGGGAATAATACTTGTCGATCTCTAAACTAGAGTGCATCTCATGCATGTATACATACTAATATACATTAATATACCTTTTGTATTCATTAAGAAGAAATATCTCCTTCATAGTATCGAAAGTCATACATCAACGAGCATTTAGATCATACTAAACCTCAAAGATGATCAATGGCTTTGAAAATTGTCTCACTTCATGACTTCAATGAACCACCATCTTACGGAAATAACTAACAAGTCATCACACCGCCCAAATATATACATACATTTAAGGGACGGATTCAGGATTTCGACAGGGCCGTTTTTTAGGGGGTTCAATAGGTTATCCAGAACAAGACCCCCAGATTTAAGGGGCCCCATATTTTTAAAAATTTATTAGTATTATATAGTAATATTATATATTAATACTAATCAATAAAATACACTTAACTGGCTAGTGAAAAAAACAAATATAGATACATCATTTTTTCGTTGTTTCTTTTACTCTTTTAGTTCTTTTTTAATGAGTATTCCATTGATTTGAGTATAACTATTTGGATTGAGATTTTTTTAAATTCTTTTATATTAATATGGGGCCCCGATTTTAGATTTTGAACCAGGGCCTCCAAATTCATTAGACGGCCCTGGATTTCGAGTCAAGGGGGCGAATTTTTTTCCATTAGTGTAGGGGTTGAAAATTTTTTCTCTAGTGTAGCACGGCGAATTTTTTTTCGCAAGTGTTGCTAGGTGAAGTTTTTTCGTTAGTGTAGCAGAGCGAATTTTTTCCGCTAGTGTAAGACTCTGCGGCTAATTTTTGTTCAAAAAATTCTACAAGTAAAAAGTTTAGACAGTGGAAAAATAACTTTGTTTAATAATTTTAAGTGCTCTAGAAAATTATTTGAAAATAAGAAAGGCTATAACATTTTATCAAATTATTTGAAGGTAAAAAGTTTAAAATGTACACATAAACTGCTGCTTTTTGAATAACTTATGTTTTGTTTAACCACATGAATCTTATCAGAATAAAGAATCGGGGTTTGAATTGCAATTTTTGTCTATGAAGGAGGGTATTCGTGGATCACAAGGAATTCTCTTAATATTTTGTTATGAGAATATTAATTTTAGAATAATATGATATGTAGTATTGATAATTCATATATACATGATGCATATTATATTTGAATTAAGGCTAAAATAAGTTAAAGTTTACTATCTATGCAACAAATTGGTTTTACAAAGTAAGAAGTAAATTGATTGTTTAATTTAGTATCACAAAACATTTATATTTTGGATTCACATTAAATGATCTAAAAACTATTTAACTATTGTGTCTGATATTTAATATTATTGATATTTTACAAAATCGAGTACAAATTATCTAATAAAGATAATTAAACATTACAAAACTAGGAATTTTTATATAATAGGTATCCTAAACAATGAGTTGCTCTATTGTTTATTTGTTTAAATTATGTAAATTATTTTAGATTTTACTTCTTTGAAATCTCTAATTAAGTATTAAATTATGTGAGCTTATATATTAATTTTGAAAACTAAAAGATAAGGGGGGCGAAAACATATGTATATAATTAAAGTATGAAACTTTTATGAAAAATATTAAATATATATTAGAAAATTTTGAAAGTCCAAGGGGGGCGGTCGCCCCCCCCCGCGCCCCCCTTAAATCCATCCCTCCCCGCGCCCCCTTAAATCCATACCTGCATACAAACCAACATATACCCGACATAACTAACAAGTCATCACACATTCACACCGCCCAAATATATACATACAAACCAACATATAAGGTATGACTTGATGAAACTTCAAGTTAGGCCTGGACTCGGGTCGGGTGGCCCGACCCGGAACCGGCACTGTTCCGGCCCGGCCCGGTCAGTGACCGGTTCGGGTAGGCCCGACCCGCGGGGGTTCTGGTCCAGGCTCGGGCCCCCTAAATCACGAACCGGCCCGGCCAGTTCGGGCCCGGTTCTGGGCCTTTTTAATTTTTTTTTGTTTTTTTTTTTCAATTTTTGTTAGTTTTCGGGTTGGGCTGGGTATTTTGGGCCATTTGGGGTGGTTTGGGATGGTTTGGGGGTGAGGGGTGGGGGGGTGGGGTTTGGGGTTATCTACGAAAAGGAAAAAAAATAACAAAGGCCCGAGGCCTGGCCCGGCCCGACTCAGACCCGGGGAGTACACGGGCCGGTTCCGGGGCCCCCATTCCAGAACCGCCGGCCCGACCGGGCCTAGGCCCGGCCCGGGCCCGAACCGGCTCAAGTCCAGGCCTACTTCAAGTTATAACCTCGTGACAGTCAGATGAAGTTTTAATAGACCAAAATATGATGTCACCTTATTACATCTCCAAGATGTCTTTCAATTGAGTTACACTACTCCAATAATCCAATTAGTACTCTACGCCATTGCTGATCTTACAGATTTGCACCTTTGAGTGATGAGAAAAACTTCCACACTTGTACAACGCTTGTTTTAGTTTTTTTATCTGTTATTTATATACTATCAAATACATCACTATGCACACCATAGCAATGAACAACAAATTTTGTATTGTTTCTACAGCATCACCTCACAACACTTCTAAATAAACTGCATACAATAAATATCACCACACAGACTTTACAAACACAATTCCAAAGCCTCAGAAGCACCCACACGCTTTGGTTGGAAGAGTTCCGGTGGCACGGTGTTTGGCTGCCAACTCCTCTGCCTTAAGAAGGTCTTCTCCTCGTTTTGCTTCAATCATTGCTCTCTTTTCCTCTGCTCCCCTGTGAAGCATTGCAATCTTGTTTTTCATTTTCTCTATATATTCCGCCTTTTGTATCTCCAACTTCTCCTGCTCAAGTAGTCAAGGGTAGAGTAATTGAGGTCAAGGTTTTGTTTAACATGACATTTGGCAAAATATATGTATATGTTAGCTACTACTTTATAAGTTTTTCAAAGCTAATTTATATGTTGGCTATTATTTTTCCGCTATGCTAATCGTTTTAATTAAATAAATTCTCTTTGGTTGGATGAAGTTATCTTGATAAGCTTCCTTGTGTGGATTTTCAATTATATCTATGTGGGCTTCTCTTTTATAATTTTACTTATTACCTACTCGTTTACTAAGGCTAGTTCATATCCTTTAGTAATACTAAGGCTTGTTTATATTCTTTTGTAATACTAAGGCTAGTTTATTAGTTACTTTAGACAAACACTAAGGCTATTTTTGACATGCCATAAGTTAGCCATTAGCTTTTTTAAAAGAATGCTCTTCAAATAGGCTGTGTTAAGTTCAAAAACTTCTTTGATAAGTTCAAATTTATCAAGTCTATATTTAGAAGAAGAGCTAAAGCTAAAGGCTATCGATTGAACTAGAGACTATTGTCTTTAGCTGGAAAAAGTTGTTGAAACCAAATTGTCAGCTAAATGAAGTAAACAATATTTTGTTAGATTTTGAAATTGCAACTGGAAAATGTAAAAATTACCATAAGATAAAATCGACATAAACTAATAAACTTACGGTAAGTTAATTGATTGCACTGAAATGCTCAAATGAATAATTATTCAAAATGAACTGATTGATTTTTTCTTTACTCCTCTGTAGCACTTCATCTAAAGAAGATTACATGTGAAACCACTTCAGCTCAATTTAAGATGAGCTGAAGTGGCTTTACGAACATGGTCTAAATTAGAGTTTTGTGTCTGAACAACTTGTCAAAGAGAGAGAAATGACATAAATTAATTTTTTGTGTCTATCTCTCTCATGCCACATTTGCACTTTCAACACTTTAACCATTTCTTATTCTTTTAAAATGATTTTAAACATACTCTCAACCTGGTTTTGTATTTCAAAGCTCGCTTATCACTTATCAGTTAATAGTCTTAATACGGAGTACTTACCAACACAGGCAACAATATACAGAGTATATTGTTTGGGAAAAGGACCTGCCAAGCTACCTGATGATAACTTTTTTGGTTTTGTAGATTCATGGACCCAATTCAATTCAATCGGATCTTCCATTCATATTTTAGTCTCCCAAGAACGGTATTTAAAACTGTTTGACCCACAAATTTTGAGTCTTATACTTTCACCGAATTCACAGGGTTCAAAAAGCAATCGATCAGTCGAGATTAAGTGAGAGCTACCTGATGATAGTTGATAAGTCACTTGTTGCCTGATAAGTTTAAATAGTAACTTCTAAATTACTTGATTTTATACAATACTTTACAAATATTAGAGATAAACTAGTTTTGGCATGATAAAGACATAAGAGAACATGCAAAATAATCCCTAGCTTTTCAATAAACAAAAATAAGACCACTTTCAATACTTCCAAAAACTGATTAAAGTAGAACTAAATTATCTCAAATCCTAATTTTCTCTCCTACAACTTGTGAACTGTTACTGCTGCAGCCAACCAACAAAATATTTTAGAAAATTTGTCAGAAAAAACCGTCAACCAGTTGTTGCTAATGATTCACTAGCGGGGGTGGTGCATAAAAGTGACATATTTAGTTTAATTCTTATAATGTTCAAAAAGTAGTCACAAATTTGCCATTAGTATTACTATCGCAATATTGAAGGAAAACAACCCAATGTATTAAATGATCCTGGGTTATGAGAAGTCGTTATAGTCCATGTCCCGGAAACCATGGAGTGGAAGGGAACAAGCATTTCAAAGAAGCTGCAAATACTGGTATAGAAAAATGGAACAATGAAAGACATAATTTGGTCTTATTCACCTCAATCTTTTTCAGCTCAGCTTCTATATCTGCTTTCTTTTTGTTTTCCCATGAACCAATTTCAGATAGCTTCTTGTGGGCTCTGTCATCAATCACAATTATTAAATTAGTTTAGTGTAACTCAGCGGACCTCGAACCCATTAACACTAATAGAAAGTGAAACCAAATGCCAAGTTAGATCTGAACTGAAATATAGCTAGAACAAATGACAGTTCTGATGATCATCCAAAAGGAGGATATGGCAAAGTCCAAAACAAGGAAATAGCTGATCTAACTGAAGTATTCAATGCCCAAAGGAGTATATTTTATATTTGTTCGGTGCAGGATGGGTTGAAATTTCTCCTAAATGATAGTCAGTTGAAGTAGTTCAAACTAGAAATCTGTATACTCGTTTTATAGGCTTAATTATAATGAAATACCTGTTTGAGTCCTTACAGATTAACATGTTCAGATGTTCTCATAGCATTTTAAGAGTTACTTGTTTTATAGCATGTTCTCTATTACGACCAAGTACTTAGCATGTATTTAATACTTGTTCTATGATGTGGATGACTTAAACAAATTACAGGCAGTTAGTTACTTGTTCTCAGCTTTTGCTTTTTCACTTTCTTCCCAGGCTTTGATGAGGGCATGCTTCTTTTCTTTAGCTACTCGAGCAAGCACTACATCTGCCATTGGATCCATTAAAGCTGTCAGTGAACACCAAAAGTATCGAAATAGAGGCATCATGTATTGTGATTTATACTTGTACCTCTATCAAGGGATCCTCCCTCTTTTTTCTCTTCCACATGTTCTGGTTCTGTAGCTTCTTCTGCAAGGGAAAATAAAGTTTTAGGGCCTGCTTACTAACAGAGATATTTTCCTGTTTTCTACTTCTGTTTTTCGTTCTCCAATTTTCTGTTTTATTTTTCAGTTTTTCTATCTCCAATTTTCTGTTTCTATTTTTTAGTTTTCCATTTTCAAATCTGAAAACATGTTCATCAATTTTTTCACTCAGTTCTACAATTCCACACCCTTGACCCCTACCCTTACCACGATCTTACACTCTACCCATACTCCCCCACAACCCTTCATACCCACCCATACCTACTCGTAGGGGTCGGGGTAGGGAAGTTATGGGTGGGGGTGGGGTAAGGGGTATAGTCGGGGTGGGGTGATAAGGTCTAGGGTAGGGGGTTGGGTGGGGGTAGTTGGTGGGTTAGGGTCGTGGTTAGGGGTAAGGGTGGGGTAGTGGGTAGGGTTTGGGGTAAGGTAGAGGTATGGTATGGAGTTGGGATAGGATGGCGGTAGGGTGGAGCCGGGACCAGGGTGGGGCTGAGGTAGGGAAGGGGTAGGGGGTGGGGGTAGGATGGCGGTAAGGGTGGGGGGTAGTGGGTAGGGTAAGGTAGGTGTAGTGGGATATGATGACGATAGGGTGGGCCAAGGATCTGGGTGGGGCCGAGGTAGGGGAAGGGTAGGGTGGGGGGTAGGATGGTGGTCGGATGGCGGAAGGGTGGGGGTAGGATGGCGGTACGAGGGTGGGGGTAGGATGGCGGTGGGGTGGGGCCGAGGTAGGGGCATGTGGTAAGGGGTAATATACGAGTGGGGGTAGGGTAGGGTGGGGTCGAGGTGGTAGGAGGTGGTGGTAGGGTAGGGTGGATCGGGGTGGGGCCGAGGTGGGGTAGGGTCATTATAGGAAAAAATGGGTATGCGGGGTGGGGTTGGGTGGGTAAGGTAGGGTAGGGTAGGGGTAAGGGGTAAGGTACGAGGATGGAGGTACCGGAATGGAATCGACATCGGAGCGGGACCGGACCCACCACTAAGTGTAATTATGCAAATTCATTGCAGCGGCACTGTAGCATCTGCGTTTTCCAAATTTGGAAAACTAATAAAAGTCACTTCCCCAAATCATTAAGGAAAAGAGAGACATGTCTCATTTTTTCCGTTTTGGAAAACGATTTGGTAAACGCGTTTTTCTTTTTTCCTTTCTCCAGTTTTCCAGGAATTTCTTTGGTAAACACGTTTCCTCTTTTCTGTTTTCCAGTTTTCCAGTTTTCTGGAAAACTGGAAAATATCTCTGTTAGTAAACAGGCCCTTAACTTTTAAATGTGATGCATTGTATTATGATTTATGAGTTCTAGTTGCTCTTTCAGGAAATGACTCAATTGGACAATCATGATTTGGTTGTTCTGTCCTAATATTGGTTGTTCTCATGTTGGTTCATCGATAGCTTCCTATCTTACCTCGCCTAATATTGAACTCTTCAGTAACAATTACTCAAAATAAAAAGAAAACTTTAGTTGCCAAAAACAAGATTTTAAAGACATGCTGACAACCAATAACCTACTTTTTGCATTTAATTTGTCTTTAATTTTGGTTTGAAATGAGAACAAAAAAGCACCAGTCTTTATTTCCTAAGACAATAAATGAAAAGGACTATTTGGGAATTGAGAGGAAGACAACCTTGATGCAAGTTCAGAGATTTTTTAAATGACAACTATTTTGGGACAGAACTTTTATCGAATTTTGGGACTATTTTTGGCCTATTTTGGGACTTTTTGGCTTAACCGACAACTGATGAATTTGAATTGCACATTCAGGAAGCTCCTATATCATCCTGATCTTTTCAGTTCCACATATGAATCCATCGAATCCCAAAATAGTCCTTCGATATCAAGCATAGGAACAGAAATAATGAAAACTCGCTGATTTTACAGTACACAAATTTCAAAATCAGAGAGAGAGAGAGAGAGAGAGAGAGAGTAGATACTGTGCTCAACAAGGACGATAGCTTTGGATTCATCAGCTGGTTTATCCTTCTCCTTTTCTTCTTCAGGATGAGAAGGAAGAGAGGGAGCAACAACCGCTTTCTCTTCGGCTACTTCTTCTGGAGCGGCTACAACTGGTTCGGGTTCTGGAGGCGTCGTCGGCGGCGGCGGGTGGTGTTCCACGGGCAACTCCTTGGTGGCTTCCGCCTCCGCCATGGATAAACAGATCAGCTAACTAGGGGAATAGCTGGAGAAATAGAGAAAGAGAAGCGTTGAAGAGGAAGGAGAGAGAGAGATATAAGTAGGTAGTTAGTTGGGAGGAAGGTAAATAGACGAGAGTGACAGAGTGGATAGTATCCTGAATAGCTGGATCTGTTTTGTACACATATGCACTCTTCCCCACCACATTGAATTAGCACATATTCTTATACCCATCTTATACCCGTCATGTTTCTAAATGTTTTCTTTTATCCGCAAACCTGATTCACAGATAATATTTTGTCTGTGCAAAATATTTTCTGTGAACTAGGGTTCACAGAAAGAAAAAAAACACTTCACAAACACAAGTGGGTACAGAAGTGGATATAAGAGTAGGTACAAAGATCATTTTTTAATATTCTTTACATTTTACTTTTCATTGCTTTTTAGTGTTAAATTAAATAATCGCCATCATCACTTCACTGCATAAAAGCTTACATCTAGAGTGGAGTAGGGATCAGATATACACAACATTTCCCTATTAAAGCATAGTAACGTTTCTGAATGACTCATAGTGAAAATTGTGTCGAAAATTGTATGAAATGATTGTTGCTTTATTATAAAGAAGCACAAACAATTAGTGAGCCATTTTGCTTTATTACATCATTCTCCCAAGTCAAAAAATAATGAGTCTTTCACTCCATTACAAATTATGGAAAGGATTTATTTGGGAAATAAATATATAAAATTACTACTCCTACAAATCTTTGGGCCGTATGTGTACTGTAGTCATAATCAAAACTTTAACATACTCCCTTCTCCCTAATAACTTTGATAAGTTTAACCGGCACGTGAATTAATAAAGTAAAAACTGTGTGGTTGAGATTTGTGTAGATGAGAGAAAATTAACTGGAACCACAAATTATTTACTTAAAATGGAAAGTGACAAAGTTAATGGGATATCCAAGGAAAGTTGACAAAGTTATAAGGGACGGAGGGAGTATATAGTATTGGTTTTAATACAAAATTAGATCCTCCTCCGTCATTGAAATTTAATTTCACGGTTTTAGCTTATGATTTATAGGAGTGGTACTTTTAACAGAAATTGCCATAAATAGGAGTAAAAACGTTTTTAACTTCCAAAATAAGACTCATGTTTTTTATTCCTTGAATATGAGTAATCTGCTAAGTTTGGAAAAAATTCTATGTTTAAAGCCTAGTAATGTCAAACTTGGCAGAAATTTACTCCTATTCAGAGAATAAAAACATGATAGTTCTATTTTGGAATTTCAAAACGTTTTTATTCCCGTTTAGACAATTATCTCTACTTTTAATTGTTCTTTGTTGCACAATAGAGACTGTGCAAACTGATAGGTTCAGACTTCAGAACCAAAAAAGATTGTATAATTTGCAATTATAGTTGGCGATTCTACCCATAGATACCAAAGGTACTAAATCTAACTAAATCTAACTTAAGTGAATTGATCTATGTGAAATATAAGAGGGTATTCATTATACTTCATATTGAAATGATATACAAGTAGCTCTATTTATAGCAATATTAGAGCATTAGGGTTTCTATTTATAGCAATACAACTAGCCCCCCCCCCCCCCTCAAATTGGAGTAAATCATATACACCAAGATTGTTACAAATATACTCTACTCTAGGACCTCTAACAGACTTGGTTAAAACATCTGTAAGTTGATCAATTGTGTTGACATATGTTGTGAAAATATATCCATCTGCTATCTTTTCTCGAATAAAGTGACAATCAACTTCAATGTGTTTAGTCCTCTCATGATATATTAGATTCGATGCAATGTGCATTGCGCCTTGATTGTCACACAATAATTGAACTGATTTTGTGCTCCCATAGTTTAGTTCTTGGAGGAGATGCTTCAACCACAAGATTTCGCATGTAGCAAGGGCCATCACACGATATTATGCTTCAGCTTTAGATCTGGCAACCACATCTTGTTTTTTACTTTCCCAAGAAATTAGATTTCCACCGATCAAGATGCAATATCCTGAAGTAGAACGTCTATCCATCGCACATCCAGCCCAATCTGCATCACAATATCCCACAATATCACGGTGACCTCGGTCTTCGAATAGCAACCCTTGTCCTAGTGCTTTCTTGATGTATCCCAAGACTCGAATAGTTGCACCCCCAATGACCATTACATGGCTTATCAAGAAATTGACTAAAACACTTACCACAAATGAAATATCTGATCTTGTGATGGTCATGTAATTTAGTCTGCCAATGAGTCTTCTGTATTTTCCATTTTTGGGCAAAGGGCCTCTTTGCTCTGACAAGAGTTTGACGTTTGGATCAATTGGTGTATCCACTAGTCTACACTCTAACATGTCTGTTTCTTCAAGAATGTCCAAGGCATATCTTCTTTGTGAGAAGGCGATTCTGTTTTGAGACTGTGTGACCTCAATGCCAAGGAAGTACCTTAGCTTTCCCAAGTCTTTTGTTTGGAGTTTGTTAAAAAGATACTCCATCTGTCCCAATTTGATGGTCTTGTTCTTTTGGGCACAAAGATTAAGAAACTGTGGTAGGAAGACTAAAAAACCTTACTTTATTGTAATGTTCATCCTTTTACTCTTATTGTTCATTAAAAAGGAGAGGTATAAATGGTAATCCACTTTTAGTTCTTTACCAAAAGGGAAACAAGACCATCATTTTGGGACATCCCAAAAAGGAAATACAGGACCATCGTTTTGGGACGGAGGGAGTATTGTTTAAGGAGTGCAATTCCTTGTTCATCACTACATGTAATGACAATATCATCAACATACACAACAAGTTATATGCATTTATCGCCTGCAAAATGTCTATAGAATATAGAATGATCGACATCACTTCGAATCATTCCAAATCCACGAATAACAGCACTAAACCTCCCAAACCATGCACGTGGAGATTGTTTCAAGTCACATAATGAACGACGTAATCTGCACATCAAACCCGACTCCCCCTGAGCAACAAACCCAGGCGGTTGCTCCATATAGACCACCTCGTGTAGATCACCATGAAGAAATGCATTTTTAATATCCAACTGAAACAAGGGCCAATGACTCAGCTCATTGCCGCCATGGATAAAATCAAATGAACAGAAGCAATCTTAGCAACAGGAGAAAATGTGTCAGCGTAATCTAACCCATAGATCTGAGTGTACCCTTTCGCCACAAGGCATGCTTTTAAAACGATCAATTTTACCATCAGGGCCAAATTTGACAGTGTATATCCATCGACACTCAACAGCTGATTTTCCAGTTGGAAGGGAGACTAAATCCCACGTCCCACTTGAATGAAGAGCATCCATCTCCGCCAACATAGCTTTACGCCATTCCGAATGTGCCAAGGCCTCATGTGTGGTTTTAGGAATGGAGGTTTGAGACAGGTGTGAAATGAAAGCAAAGTAAGGGGTAGAGAGGCGGTGATAACTCAAAAAGTTATATATGGATGCAGATTCAAAGTAGAGCGCGTACCTTTTTGGAGGGCAATTGGCAAATCACTCTGAGTAGGTTCACGAGGCGTGCTACAACCTCTGATGGTGATGATACTGGATCCGTGGTAGGGGACTCACGAGGCGTGGCCACAATAGGCTCAATGGAAGGAGGTCTAGGACGTTGATGGTATACTTGTAATGGATGATCTGTCATAGGAGGACAATGTGGATGCTCATTAGATGTTGGGGAAATGGGAGTATTTGGAAGGATGGGTCGGAGATATGAGGTGAAGTCCATAAACGAGGGGGTATCAACTGAAGATAATGGGTAATAAATGGAAGACTTAATAAAAGTGACATCAGCCGAAATAAAATGTTTCATAAGTAAAGGAGAATAACAACGAGGTGGTAATGGAAATAATTCACGAGTAGGAAACAAGACTGAAAATGGAATATCATTATTAAGAATTGAGGAAGGCATGCGGTTTATTAAATGACACGCAGTGAGCACAGAATCTGCCCAATATTGAGGTGGTGTATGTGAATGTAATAACATGGTGCGAGCTGTATCAACTAAATGTCGGTTCTTGCGTTCAGCAACCCCATTTTGTTGAGGCGTGTCAACACAAGAAGATTGTTTGATGAAGCATACCTCGCGATGTCATGAATTGATTAAAAGGGGCTGCAAAAAATTCTTTAGCATTGTCACTACATAAAATTTTGATAGAATGCCCGAATTGAGTCTGAATTACAGAACAAAAAATTTGAAAAATATTAAACAATTTAAAACAATCTTTCATTAAATATAACCATGTGTAAAGGGAAAAAATCATCAACAAATATAACAAAATAACGAAATCCTAAAGTAGAAGTGATCCGCCTTGGAAGGGATTTACGAGGTTGCTTTCCAAGATGACATGACTCTAAAGATGAAAGATTTGAGTAACCTGGAACCAGACGTCGAAACTTTGAGAGACTAGGATGATCCAGAAGATTATGTAAGGTAATTGCAGGTTCAACAGAGACACACGCGATGAGATCAAGAGGGTGGAGATGCTATAGGCCCTGAGATTCATACCCAACACTAATCGTTTTCCCCGTACAACGGCCTTGCAAAGTCACAGAATCAACAGAAAAAGTTATAGAACAATTAAGAGCACGTGTAATTTTGCTAACAGAGACGAGATTTAAGGGAATGTCAGGAACATATAAAACTGAATTTAATGGTAAGGATGAAAGAGGAAGTGCTTGCCCAATACCTGTGGCTGAGGTTTGAAGGCCATTAGCAAGAGTGATTAAAGGAAGGTGTTGTTGCTTGGTAATATGAGATAAAAGATGAGGATTACTAGAAATATGATATGAGTTAATGATCCATGAGGTCGTGGTGTTCGAAACACAAAGGGTAGATATATTAGGTGTAGATGAAGGCACATTAGTCGACTTAAATTTCTGATATGCTGCATAATTGACTGGAGATAGAACAATCGGAGACGGCGAGATCTGAACAACATTGGCAAAGCTAGGAGGTTTTCCATGTAACTTCCAACACCTGTCTTTAGTATGACCAATCTTTTGACAAAAATCACATTTGGGAC